TACTGCTATAAGCATCCTTCGGACTTAGCCCAACTGAGATGGGGGTCTTACTGTCTGGCTTTGCTGGCTATTAACTGCAGTGAGAACATCCCTAGAAAAGCTATCAGCCAAAAGCTGGAAAGATCCACATCTTAAAAGGGCCCACGCACAAACTCACTCATTGCAGCAACCTAAAATCACCAGAGAGAAAGCTGACTGTCCTTTGGTGAAACAAGACTCACCTGGTGGACTCTGGGGGCATCTTGGTGAGAGGAAGGTCCTCTCCAGAGACTGAGACATTGGTGGGGGCCATTGTTCTGAGCTGGTCCAGGCGTGCTGACCCGGACACCTGGTGGGGGCCATTGAGGTGCATCCCTTGGGCTGTTAGCCCAGGGGTCTGCCACACCCACTAGAGCACAGATTTAATCCAATTCAGCCAGGGCAGGCAACCCGCCCCAGGGAATGGCCCCACCTAACAGCAAGCCCTCAGGCTACTTTTCAGCCTGCATTGACTGAGTGCCTTGATCCTCTACATGCAGGCAAGGGTGTCTGCCTCTGTGGGGCAGGGCCTGTGTGAGGACCAGGTGAACTGTGGGGGGCATAGGGGCAGAGGTCGGGGCCTCTGCAGTGTGGCGTTTGGGTACACTCCAGGGGGTTGAGAAGTGTGCACGGACCAGGACTGTGTTGACAGTGTATGTGGTCCAGTGGGGGGTGAGGCTTATCAGCAGCAGAAGACCTGTGCTTCACAAATAGCTATAAAAAGGATCAGCCCCACCTTCCAAAGCCTGAAACAATTGAGTGTCCCCATGCCAAGGGCTAGCCTCACTCAGCTGCACTCCTAAGAGAACTGACAACGGCCTTGTTGGCCTCAGGCCTATCACAACTGTACGACGCCCCTGAGCCAGCCATTTGTGACAACATGGGTAGACCTTGAGGGTATTATGCTGAGTGAAATAAGTCAGAGGGAGAAAGTCAAATACCATATGATCTCACTCATAAGTAGACCATTGGGGAAAGGGGGAGGTTTGAGGGCAAAAGGAGTGATTAGGCTCACATGTGAGGGGATGCACTATAGTTAGCATTTGGGTGGTGAACATGATGTAATGTATACAGAATTCGAAATATGATGTACATTGGAAAAAAATAAAAATAAAAAAAAAGTACGTTAAAAAGATCATACATCATGATCAAGTGGGTTTCTTTCATTCCAGGGATGCAGGGATGGTTCAACATCTGCCAATCTATCAACGTGATACACAACATTAACAAAATGAAGAATAAAAATCACATGATCATCTCAATAGATGCAGAGAAAGCATTTGACAAGATACAGCATCCATTTATGATACAAACTCTAAATAAAATGGGTATAGAAGGAAAAAGCTCAACATAATAAAGGCCATATATGACAAACCCACAACAAATATCATTCTCAATGGAGAAAAACTGAAAGCTATCCCTCTAAGAACAGGAACCAGATAAGGATGCCCACTGTCACCACTCTTATTTAACATAGTATTGGCAGTCCTAGCCAGACCAAAAGAAATAAAAGGGATCCACATTGGAAAAGAAACTATCACTCTTTGCAGATGACGTGATTTTATATCTAGAAAACCCTAAAGATTCCACTAAAAAACTTTTAGAAACAATAAAGGAATACAGTCAAGTTGCGGGATACAAAATCAACATACAAAAATCAGTTGCGTTTCTATACACTAACAATGAAGTAGCAGAAAGAGAAATTAAGAATACAATCCCATTTACAATTGCAACAAAAACAATAAAATACCTAGGAATAAACTTAACCAAAGAGGTGAAAGATCTGTACACCGAAAACTATAAAACATTGTTGAAAGAAATCGAAGAAGACACAAAGAAATGGAAAGCTATTCTGTGCTCTTGGATTGGAAGAATTAACATTGTTAAAATGTCCATACTTCCTAAAGCAATCTATAGATTCAATGCAATCCCTATCAAAGTTCCAACAACATTTTTTACAGAAATAGAGCAAAGAATCCTAAAATTTATATGGAACAACAAAAGACTCTGAATAGCCAAAGGATTCCTGAGAAAAAAGAACAAAGCTGGAGGTATCACACTCCCTGATTTTAAATTATACTACAAAGCCATAGTAACCAAAACAGCATGGTACTGGCACAAAAACAGACACATAGATCAATGGAACAGAATTGAGAATCCAGAAGTAAAGCCACACGTTTATGGATGGCTAATATTCGACAAGGGAGCCAAGGGCATACGATGGAGAAAGGAGAGTCTCTTCAATAAATGGTGTTGGGGAAACTGGACAGCCACATGCAAAAGAATGAAAGTAGACCATTCCCTTACATCATGTACAAAAATAAACTCAAAATGGATTAAAGACTTGAATGTAAGACCCGAAACCATGAGACTACTAGAAGAAAACATAGGCAGTACACTCTTTGACATCCGTCTGAGTAGCATATTTTCAAGTCCCATGTCTGATTGGGCAAGGGAAACAAAAGAAAAAATGAACAAATGGGACTACCTCAGACTAAAAGTCTCCTGCACAGCAAAGGAAACCATCAACAAAATGAAAAGGCAACCTAACAATTGGGAGAAGATATTTGCAAACCATATATCAGATAAGGGGATAATATCCAAAATATAGGAAGAACTAATACAGCTCAACAACAAAAAAACCAACAATCCAATTAGAAAATGGGCAAAAGATCTGAACAGAGATTTCTCCAAAGAAGATATACGGATGGCCGACAGGCTTATGAAAAGATGCTCAACATCATTAGCTATCAGGGAAATGCAAATCAAAACTACAATGAGGTATCACGTCACTCCAGTCAGAATGGCTATAATTAACAAGACAGGAAACAACAAATGTTGGAGAGGATATGGAGAGAAAGGAATCCTCATACATTGCTGGTGGGAATGCAAACTGGTACAGCCACTAAGGAAAGTAGTATGGAGTATCCTCAGAAAACTAAGGATAGATCTACCATATGATCCAGCTATTCCACTGCTGGGTATTTATCCAAAGAACTTGAAAACACAAAGGCATAAAGACACTTGCACCCCTATGTTCACTGCAGCGTTATACACAATAGCCAAGACATGGAAGAAACCTAGGTGCCCATCAAGGGACGAATGGATAAAGAAGATGCAGTATTTATACACGATGGGCTACTACTCAGCCATAAGAAATGATGAAATCTGGCCATTTGTGACAACATGGATGGAACTTGAGGGTATTATGCTGAGCAAAATAAGTCAGAGGGAGAAAGTCAGATACCGTATGATCTCATTCATGAGTAGAAGATAAAAACGATGACAAAAAACCACAGCATTGGAGATTGGGTTGGTGGTTATCATAGGGGAAGGGGGTAGGGAGTGGGCAAAAGGGGGGATTAGGCTTACATGTCGGGGGATGGACTATAATTAGTTTTCGGGTGGTGAACATGATGTAATGTACACAGAATTCGAAATATGATGAACATCCGAAAATAATTTTTTTTTAAAAAAAGGAAAAAGAGTGAAGATATTTTAAGGGACTTACGGGACACAATCAAACAGATTAGTATATGCATTACAGGTATCCCAGAAGAAGAGAGAGAGAGAAGGGGCAGAAAGCTTATGCGAGGAACTAATGGCTAAACTTTCCAAACCTCTGAAAAGAAACAGACATCTGTATTCAGATCTCATTTAGCTTTGTTATGTTTCCATTTTCATTTGTCTCGAGATATTTTTTATTTCCCTTTAGATTTCATCTTTGGCCCCTTGTTTGTTCAGGAGCATATATTTAAATCTCCACACTTTTGTGAATTTTTCAGTTTTCCTCTTATTATTGATTTCTAGTTTCATACCATTGTGGTCAGAAAAGATACTTGGTATGATTTCAGTCTTCTTAAATTTGTTAAGACTTGTTTTGTGAGCCACCATATGATCTATCTTGGAGAATGTTTTGTCTGCACTTGAGAAAAATGATATTCTGCTGTTGTTGAATGCAATGTTCTATATATGTCTCTCAGGTCCATCTGACTTAACACATAGTTCAAGTGCACTGTTTTCTTATTGACTTTTCTGCCTGGATAACCAATACATTGTTGAATGTAGGCTATTGAAGTCCCCTGCTATTATTGTATTGCTGTCTGTTTTTCCCTTCAAATCCGTTAATATGTGCTTTATTTTTAGGTGCTCCTATGTCGGGTGCATAAATGTTTACAGTTATTATATCTTTCGGTTAGTTGACCCCTTTACCATTATATAATGACCTACCCTCTCTCTCATTACATTTTTTCACTTAAAGTCTCTTTTATCTGATATAAGTATAGTTACCCCTGCTCTCTTTTGGTTTCCATTTGCAAGGAATATCTTTTTGCTTCCTTCCACTTTAGTCTATGTGCGTCCTTAAAGCTGAAGTGAGCCTCTCATAGGCAGCTACACTTGGGTCTTGTTTTTTTTACCCATTCACTCTATGTTTTTGATTGGAGAATTTAGTTCATTTATATTGAAAGTAATTATTGATTACTTTCCATACCTATGGACGTACTGTTGCCATTTTATTAAATGCTTTCTGGCTGTTTTGTTGTTCTTTTGTTCCTTTCTTCCTTTCTTGTTTGCTTTCTTTATGATTTGGTGATTTCTGTCATGCATGCTTTGACACGTCTCTCTTTATCTTTTGTGTATGTATTAGAGGTTTTTACTTTGTAGTACCATGAGGCTTACATAAAATATCTGATAACAGTCTATTTTAAGCTGATAACTATATATGCGGATAACAACATATAAAAGCTCTACATTTTTACTCTTTTCCACAACGTTTTATGTTTTTGATATCTCAGTTTATATCTTTTTATATTGTGTATCTATTAACAAATTATTGTAGCTATAGTTATTTTTAATACTTTTGTCTTTTAACCTTTTTACTGGAGTTACAAGTGATTTACACACCCCTATTTCAATATTAGAGTTTTCTGAATTTAACTTATATTTACCTAATGTTACTAATTAGCATACTTTTGTTTCAGCTTGAAGAACTACGTTTAATATTTCTGTAAGGCTGGTCAAGTGGTGATGAACTCCTTCAGTTTATTTGGGAAAATATTTACCTCTCTTTTAATTTTCAAGAACAACTTTTCTGGGTAAAGTATTCTGATTTGGCAGATTTTTTTCTCACTCTATATTTTGTTTTTTCTTCTTGTGCATGTATTTTCCAATTCTGATGAGGTCAAATTTATAAATTTGTCCTTTGACATATATGTGCTTTTGGTGTTCAGTCAAAGAACTGCCTAGTCATATGTCCTGACTTCAATTTTTAAAAAAATCACAGTTTTATGTTTTACATTTAGTGCATGATCCACTTGAGTTTTTGTATCAAGTGTGTGGTTTACGTTTTCCCTCTCTTCTTCCTCCTCTTCTTCTTTTATGGATGTCCAATTCCTCAAGCACCATTTGTTGAAAGGTCTGTCCTTTTTCCATTGAATGACCTTTACACCTTTGTCAAAAAGCAAATTTGTCACCAAGCATATTTGTGTGGATCTATTTCTGGGTTCTCTTTTCTGTTCCATTGATCTATGTATCTATGGCTCCACCAATACACACTGTCTTGATTACTGTAGCTATCCAGGTAGGCTTTATATTAGGAAAAATGATTTTTCCTTTTCAACATTGTTTTAGCTATTTTACAGCCTGAACCTTTCCATATAGATTTTAGAATAAACATATTTTTAACAAAAAGCTTACTTGAGTTTTGTTAGTAATTATCCTGAAATTATAGAAAAATTTGGAGAGAAGGGGCATCTTCACTATGTTGTCTTCTAATCCATTGATATTTAGTGAGATTTTTAAAAATTTCTTTTATGAACATTTTGTAGTTTTCAGGTTACAAATCCTGTACATATTTTGTTAAGTGCATACCTATATATTACATTTTCTTTGGAGCGATTGTATATGGTAATTTATTTTTAATTTTGGTTTCTTATATTTATTGTTAATATGTAGAAAAGCAATTGATTGTTGTTTGTTGATCTTGTATCCTGCAACCTTGCTGAGCTCACTTATTAGTCCTGTAATTATTTTGTAGTAGATTTCTTGGGATTTTCTATAAATTTCTTGTTGTAGCAGAGTCCCTCTTGTTGGTGCATTGCTACTCAGATATTTCTGGGTGGGAAGAAGAGCCTTAGGATAAGCTTGGGAGAAGAGCACTTCACCTGGCTACCCATTGTTAGCTGGGTCCTGATAGATCCCTTTTGTGAGTGGTTTCTCACTTGGCATTATTATAGGACCTCTCATTTGATCCAGGGGAGAAATGAGCCTACCTAGTTCATCTTCTTTTGCTAGATTAGGGGTCAGGAAACATTTGGCCTGGGTGGCCTTCCTCTGTTGGATGTGGGGATGTAAGACAAACTGCCACAGTATTTTTGTTTTCCTCCAGTTCTTGGATTCCAAACCATTTTGTCTTCCTCTTTCTTGTTTAAAAACTCTTCCCTAAAGGCATCCAAATCTCAGTTTCTGGATTTTAACTAACTCTCCAGATAAATACCCAGCCACGTGGCCTGGTCATAGTGTCAAGGAAAAATTGCACCAGAGGGAGTTAAACAGGCAAGGAAGACTTTATTCAAGACTACTGCAATAGGGATGAAGACTATTGCAATAGGGGAGAGAGATTGAATGTAACCCCACTGAAACTTTAAAAGGTGAGGGAATTTGTAAGGGGTGAGCTAGCGGAAAAGTACAGGAGGATGTTGAGGGGAGGTTAGTAAATATATGGGCCATCCATGTTTACTAATTGGTGTTTATTAAAGTTAGACTCCTACCTTTCCACATAGACTGGGAGATAGAGGCACTATCTTTCTTGATAATTATATTTCAAAGAGATGGCTCCCAAGTCCTTGAGAAAGACATTCCTGGGTTGTAAAACTGGCAAGAGGCTGGGAAAAGGTTTACATTTCAAAAGGTCAGAGAATAAATTTGCATTTGCAAGTTTCCTAAGGTAAATGCTCTAAGAAAAGAAAGGTTGGAGACCTGTAATTAGGAAAAAAAATTGTCTAAAATTTGGTCAAGCTAAAGAAATCTTAAGGCCATCTTGGTCAATATCAAATTACTGTAAATTTCATGAATACCTTCTGCTGATTTGAACTTTCTTATCTTTGCACACATTGTTCTCTCTTTGTAAAATATCTTTCCCCTCTTGTTTTCAAGACAGTTTCCTTATTATTGCAAGAATCTGCTCAATCATAACCTCTTCTATAAAGCACCCCTGGCCAGTTGATAAAGCACTTCTTTGTGCTACCTTTTTTTTTTCTTAAATAGACTAGAAAGTCTATTGTGATGCTTTCAAAAAGAACTAACTGCCTTCTCTTTTTGGACACTTGGTAAACCCTAACATGTCTTCTAGTAAATAATTTGCATTATTTCATTATTTATACCTCACACTCTTACTCTCTCTCATCTATTTAATATCTCTATATCAAACTCTATCCTCTCTCATGATATAAACTTGAAACTAAATAGGCACTCAAAAATGCTTTTAAATTGAATAAAGCAATCTTCACATGGTATTGAAGTTTTTAATAATACATCTTTACCTCTTGTCTCTAAATAACATCAGTTCATTCACCTTCTAAAAAAGCCTTTAACACACTGTCTAGCAGTTGATCACTGATTATTTAATGAATGAGTAGATGAATGATAATTTATAAAGAAAAAATATTTTTAAAAAAATAGAAATCTTTTATCTAAGCTCTGAATATGATATTAAAGTCTCAGAAAAACCTAATTTATGTAATAATTAAAGGCATTAGTGTCTATATCTAAACAGTGGTTGCATCTATTTTCTTCAACTATTCATTTTCTTTTTCACAGATCACCAACTCTTTTTCTAAGTGATCATATGTCTCTTCTCCTAGAATCAGAAACTCTATTTTGAAAAATTACTCTGGATTTAACAATTTAAGTAACCCTTTTGCCATTGACAGTCTTGATGTAGAAGAATGGCTTTCCTCTGGGAAACTTTACATTTATTTGTCTAAATTCCACTTTAGTATACTATTTTCCTTTATTCTTTAAAAAGCTATGGAAACTTTTATTTTTCAGTCTACTATCTTTGTGTTTAGCTATTAAACTTTAGCTTATCAAACTGCTGAATTTAGGCTTTATCTGTCTCATTTTCTCCCATAATATTCTTTAACAGTTTATAATCCTCATTTCTCATTTTAGGTAGAATACAAAACAAATTCTCCCTTCAGTCTCATGATTTGTGAACAAAAACTGAAGTGAAATCTCAGAGGATGACTCTCTCAGGAAGCAGATTTGCAGTACTCGTGTGATTGTAAACCTATCAGGCACGAAGACTAATTTGACTGCATCTCCATCTAGTCTTCTCTGTGTGGGCTCAGATCTCTTTGACAGTGGAAAGAAGCAGGTAAAGCAAATAAGCAGAGGGCAGCCAAAGTCATTACCAAACCACATACCAAACCAAACACATAACTAAATGTGTGTTAACTTTTCCTACTTGAGGGTTACTTCTAAATAGCAATGTCATCAAGTAGAAGAAATGAAAAAATGTGGATAAACACATATTTGGTTTATTGACATGGGTCTTACCATATCTACATGAGAAACAAAGGGCATATCAATTTCAAGATATTGTTCAGAATTTTAATTCTCAGATTCAAAGTCCTTCTTTTTTCTCTTGTTTTGCTGAGGAACATTGTCCCTGAGCTAACATCTGTGCCAGTCTTCCTCTATTTTATATGTGGGATGCTGCCACAGCATGGTCTGATGCATAGGTCTGTACCTGGGATCTGAACCCATGAACCCCAGGCCACTGAAGTGGACAGGCGAACTTAACCACTACACCACTGGACTGACCCCTGAACCTTCTTTTTAATTTAAAATTCAAACTCTATTTAATATGCTCTTTAGACAAATTCCTCTCAAATTCAAACCTAGTTCCTTTCTTTCTCACATGAATGTACATATTTTCCAAACTCAAGGCTTCAAGTATCTTGTTAACTGATATCTAACTTTCTATTGACAAAAATTATCTTTATCCATTCCTACCTTGTATTTCCACCAACTAACATTAACCAGGAGCACATACATATTCCATTTTACACTAGGAATCCCTTAAAGGCTAATTTTCTATATTTGTAAGTAATCTCAAGTTTGTCTCTCTTTCTCTGTTTTAAAATATTCCTCACGGTTAGTACTCACTATTATTTATACACAATCTCTCTCTCTCACACACACACATACATAAACACACACACTCACAGAGAGAGAGAGAAAAGATGGTAAATTAATCAATGTTTTTTTCTTTTTATAATTTATTTTATTTTTTTCTACATTTCCTTTATAGAAATGGCAATATATGAGGCCTTCAGTACCTAATCGGGGGGGAGTAAAATGAGAGAGCAAAGATGTAAAATTCTTGGCTTATAACTTCAAATATTACAATCCAGGGGTAAGCTAAGTAAAGATTTTGAATGATATTAGGCAGAATCATTTTATCATTTTTCCCCACCCTTCTCTTCCCCTTTGTCTCAAGCTAAATGAAAATCTTCCAATGAGATGAAGGGGAAATTCTGAGGAGGAAACAAAACAGTTAGATACTAGTAAGATGTAGGAAAGAAGTTCCTCTATTACAAAATTAGCCACAAAGCATGGAGCAATGGGAAAAAAATACCAGGAATCAAGAATAGGTAAGTCCATTCATACATGACTGTCCAGGGAATCTGAAAATCTCCCCAAATCCCCTGCGCCTAAGCAGATGGTCTTGGAGTATCCTCAAAGATAGATCCCATATGGTTTGATCAGATACAAAGAGCAATCTAGGATTTCCTGATCTAGCAGAGAGTGAGGTAGATGTGAAATAGAGGGTGAGTGGCCCTGAGGATTGTGGCTAGAAGACTCTAGAGAAGAAAGCAGATTGGACCATAAATCTATTAACCAGATCAGGGTTGATGGGTTATCTCAGGTGATATCAAGAAGGTCTTCATGTGAGAATGAAGAGAATAGCATACAAGCAGAGGACAAAACACATTCACAGACTGGAGCTTTTGTTCCCTCTTCATTATGGTTAGAAGTCATCTAAACCCCTTAGAATTGAGAGACAGTTCCAGAGAAAAGGAAGAGGGCAAAAGTCTTGAATCTCCTGAGTGTAAATTTGAAGTGAGAGAAAATACCAAAGTAATTAAGTTTAAGTTGAATTGCCTACAATTATCTCTTTAACATGAGGTAGAAAAAGGGCTTGAAATATAAGGTAAATTATGTAAAATCAAGGACTTGCTGTGCCTACCAATCTCTGTTTTTTAATGTCATAAATTATTCAACTAATTATACATTTTATCACCCTGCATTTCTTATTAATATAACAGTGTTACTGTGATATAATTCACATACCTTAAGTTCAGCCTTTTAAAGTGTATAATACAGTGATTTTGAGTATATTCATAGAGTTGTACAACCATCGCTACTATCTAACTACAGAATATATTTAAGGCTCCCAAAGAAACCCTATGCTCATTAGCAATCTCTCCCAATGGGAGTGACCCCTGCTCCCAGATGCTGGCAACCAATAATCTACTTTCCATTTATGTAGATATGCCTGTTATAGACATTTCATACAAATGGAATCATACAATATCCAGCTTTTTGTGTCTGGCTTCATTCACTTAGCATAATGTTTCCAAGGTTTATCCATGTTGTAGTATGTACTGGTGTTTCATTTATTTGTATTGCCAAATAATATTCCATTGTGTGCATATACCACATTTGGTTTATGCACTTGTCAGTTGATGGACATTTAGGTTGTTTATACCTTTTGGCTATTATGAGTAATACCACTATGAACATACATGTAAAGTTTTTGTGTGGATGTATTTCATTTTTCTTGAGTATATACCTAGGAGTGGAATTGCTGGGTCATATGTTAACTCTATTATTAACATTTTGAAGGACTGTCAAACTGTTTTCCAAAATGGCTGCACCATTTGACATCCCACCAGCAATAATATGAGTTCTATTTTCTCCGTATATTGACAATAATTTTATTGTCCAACTTTTTGACTATAGTCAATCTAGTGGGCATGAAGTGATATCTCATGGTTTTGATTTTCATTCTCCTGATGGCTAATCACGTTGGGCATCTTTTCATGTGCTTATTGGCCATTTGCGTTTCTGGAGAAACATCTATTCAGATTCTTTGCATCTCTCTATTTCAATATAGAGATCTTTGCCATGATTGTCTCTGACTTGCTCAATTTGGAGTCTGTTCCATACAGTTTCTCCTTATTGTGGGGCTTTGTCCTGACAGCGACTTTGTTCAATTTTGAGTTTATAAAGACCAGATTCCAGGTCCTTCAGACCTTACCATCAACAGCTTATACGTACTCGCAAATTGGAGTGTGCAAACTCTTCCAAACGTCCAAAGGGCAGTTTCAATCGCTCTTTTCCAATTTGACATTCTTCAATTTCCATCGAGAACCTGATAACTACCTTAAGGTTCTCCTGTTCTCTGGACCATAAAATCCCCTTTTCCTTCCTTCTGCTTGCTTTTGTAGACACGTGAGGCAATAACACACAGGTCTTAACAGCTATTGGTGATTTTCCCTACCCTGTTATATGCGGTCGGGGGGGGGGGGGGGGCGTTCATTTTGTCACTTAGTTTTGTTATAGATATTATTCGTGGCTTTTAGATTTTGCTATCCTAGCTGCTCTATCTTTTTACAGAAGATTAGAGAAGATTAAAAACTTATCCTCTGTCTCTACCATATTCCAATAATTCTCCATATGAAGCTGTATCCAAATATCATGTAAGAGTAGTTGCAACTCCACATTCTTATATAAACGCACTTATGCAATCCTTTTTGATTGTCTGACCTGAGGATTTCATCTGGATTTTACTTTCATGGGTTGAAAATTTTGCTCATTTATAACTCCAGAGACTTTCAAATAATTTATGCCATATTTTTCTCAATTATTAATTATCTTTCAGGTAACTAGAACATATTTTGAATAAATAATTTCAAAATGAACATATAAGATAGCATATTTTCTGAAATGTCACATACTTCAGAAATCTTCCTGTTAATTTGATCCATAAATGAATAAAATGCTTTGTTCACAATGTTTTCCTGTTAATATTCCCCACAGTTCTCAACTGAGTTGGGAATTTAAAATTTTAGAGAATACTGAGGTCAGTATTATTTTATTTCTCTGTATGCATTCAATCTTTTGGTGGGATTGCAGGAACCTAGATTTTTAAGAAATCATTTAACATTGGTCTTGGTCATTTAACATTTTTCTATACCAATATGTCTTAAATGGCCGAGAGATTATGGTGAAATCTATTTTTATGCATCTTCAGGAGTCTTTTGTCAGCTCAGTGGAGTTTTATTTAATTATGTTTCTCATAGTGGTCAGTTTCAGATGTGATATTTTCATTCTCAGAAATTTCTACTTAAGAGTTTTAGTTTGAATCTCTATTTCTTTCATATTTACCATTTTCTTTCTTTGCATTTTAATTTCCATTTTTTAAAATGCACATTCCTATAGTCAAAACACTTATCTGAATTTTTCCAGTGTAATTCTAATCATAATTTCAACTGATGCAAACTTTAACTCAAATATTGCATTTTAGTTTCTTATGAACAAATCTCTTCTTTTTCAGTTCATCTTATTATTTTTTTTTTTGGCTATTTATATTTCACCCTATAATTTTTATCTGACTACAAAAAAGTAATTGACTAATTTATCCTAGTAAAGATATTTTGTAGTTTCAATTGTCCACTTCAGAGAAGTACATATTGATTTCTCAATATAAGGTATGTATGTACTTTGGGACAGAAGCAAGGTCAATATTTATAGCTAAATCTTTATTGAATATCTATGCTCCCCTTGGAGTTGGAGCTTCAGAGATGAATGAGACATAGGCCCAGCTTGCTTATACTCTATATTGAGTTAAAATATTTTTACTTAAAATAAACCTATTACCTCATGCAGAGTTAGTAAGTGTCTGATAAGATTTTTGTTTTTTGGCCTTTTGCTGCTTTCTGATACATTTGAGGCTTGGAGTATCTAGGAAGCAATACAAAGTTTACAAAATCAGCAAGTTAATTTGATTGTCTTAATTTATACAGAGGTCTTGATTAAATAGATTCATAGTGTTGCAGTCCCATTGATTATTTCCTTCCTTGAACACTTGATACAGTACTTAGCTTCATTACTGATTCATTAATTACTGGAAAGTTTGTATAGCACTATGATAAAAAATGTATATTTCTGAGTTAGCAAATTGGATTTGCTTCTGGACTGCACAAATCACTTAGGTGAAATTATGCGAAAACTTAATTTCGTCATTTGGAAGAAGGACATAGTAATAGGATTTATCTCTTAAGCTTGCTTGAGGAAATCATATGA